TATTACTCGCTTGTCCTTTACACCGAGTACTAGCTGTTGTCCTTCTATACCAACTTTTGTGTCATCACAATCAGATGTTACATAACGAAACGTCTCTTTAAACGCAATATAAATAAAATTTGCGTATGTTATAGTTCGCCAAAAGGGTTCGACTCCCTTCTGGGAAAAATGAATGTTGACTTCAGAATAATTATCTATTCTTATAGGTGGTGGTAGATTGTGTGCGTCTGTGAAATGTAAAATATATGTACCTCCATGCAGAATTACTTCCAAACGAAGAAAACTCATTTCTCCAATATCATTCCTTAGATTTATATATACGCTTTTTGCCTCATTTACTGGTAATCCGTTGGACCATTGGCAATAATCTCTATCTGCTGCTCGTACGCATAATAGGGGCTCTTGTTCGCAATTGCTCCAGTGGAAAGGAAAATTACTCCCTGGCAGTGCGGAAATAATATTTTTTGATGTACTCTGAAAACACAAAGATGGATATTAATAATAATATTTAATAATAAGTTGTATTTAAAATAAGCACACAAAAATTTCTATATAAAACACGTCGTTTTTGGGTCTTTCAGCATGATGTTTAATTTGTATATATGGGCAATATTGCCAATTTTTTAATATTCCATTTTCAAAAAATCAGCTTTTTTGTTTTTGTGGCATAGAGTAAAATGCTCTGACTCCGAAACAATTCGCGATTAAATTTTTTGGTTGATGCGCGCAAAAGTTATCGAGGTTTTAATTTTGATCATTAGAAAAAGTCTTAAAATTATGCCGTTTATTATATTGACCAAAAACTTTGATATATATCTTGCTCCGTAAAATAAGAATATGGACATATTATAATAATTGCGAAAAAGTTGCACATCTTCGCGAAATATGAGAAAAATAATAAAAATATAGGAGATTACGTCAATATTTTCATTATATTAATGACATACACACACCTAAAAATTAATTAAAAAATATCTACATAATCTAAAGACCACAATTAATCAAATGATATCAAAATCACAGAAGTCTGTTTAGCGGTTTGTAAATTACAGCGACAACAAAACAAGATATTGAGGAAAAATATTTGTTTTTGGTTCGAAAAAATAATGTCATCATATATATTTTTTAAATTTTATACATGAAATTTCAGAAAAAAATGTTGGGGTTATTCTGCTATTTTACCCGAATTTCGCCGAAAAATTTACATATATAAAAATAATCAATTTTTGTGTTTAAGTATACGCCTTGCGGATTATGTCAAGACCCTTTCGATAAATCTTGGGGTTCTATAAATAGGAATAAATCTTAAAATTAAATAATATTATGAAATATACATTTTAAATTGCGTCTAAATCGCGTAATTATCAAAATCATTTGATGCGCATGCGGTTTCAAGGAAGTACTGAAGTTTATCTTCCAATCCATGTATATTTTGCGAAATTTCATTTGACGCCTAAGATGTGATACATGTTGCATTGAAGCACCCAAAAACTCGTAAAACGCGAATAATTTCCGAAAACTCCATTTGCCATTAACGCGCATCCGATTTCGGCGTGAACCCTCAAAAAATACATTGATCTATACGAATTTCAATGTGGTTGATTAAGAACCATGGATGTGCCAGCAAAATCTATTTTTGAGATAAATTGGGTACATCTCTCTTTCGGCTGAAGTTTTTAAAGTTCTCTTTTCGAAAAAAGATCAAATGAGGTCATTTATTGAAGCGGAAATGATCCACAGAAAATACAATTAAATCCGCGATATTTTCAAAAACATTTTTTTCCAAATTTCGTGTTTTTGGAAGGCCAGTTCCCGCCGTTCTAATTGATGGATTTTCACGAAGAAGATTTTATATCATCCGAAACGTAAAAAACCTTACTGATCGCGGCTACCCGTATCATTCAGTTGACAGATCTAAAAATTTGGCCCGAAAAAATAGGTTTTTTAGAAATTTGATCGCACAAAATTCTCACCTTCGGATGAGTATTGCTCCGAAGCTGTGCATACTACATACACAATATATATATTAAATTACTCAGATTCGCGACTACAATAATCATATAATCGATCTTAAGAAATTCCTGTTTGCGTATTAAAGCTATAAGTAAAATTCAAAAAACACTTAAAATCGAGCTTCAAAATGTCAGCATCATTTAAAGGTAGATGCAGTTCAAATTTTATGATACATAAGGGGCGTAGTCCCCATTTTGTTGGCTTCTAGTTTTACTTTGACACGATGACCGTGAAATAAGTGGCTTAATCACATATCGATAGAGAACATAAAAAACTGGTTCAACCTGTTTTTACACATTTTTTTACATTAAAGTAGACACAGCTCCCACCAAAATAAAGTTTGGAGGTCAACATCATGAACAGTTTGCAACGACAGATCAATTAACCCAAAACTATTCACTCTTTTCCATATACTTAAGTAATTCCCGAGTTATAAAGGGGTGAACCTCCGCTTCAGCTATGTTAAAAAATTGGCAATATTTCGGTTAATTGCACATCAAAAATTGCACAGTTTTTTGTTCAATTAACCGAGGAACCAATTATCCGATACCCGCTTTATTTAAATTGTTGGTTCAATTACAGAAATCACACTTTCGCTTTCTCGCGGGTTTTCCTTACCAATAAACATTTTTTCAATTATTTCAAGTATCATAATATTATTTATTGTTTTCTACTAATTTTAGCAATTTCTGGTACATTCTGACCTTTATTTTCTTTATTAAGGGTAATTTTCTGAATGTGGTGTACTGACCTTTATTCTCCATTATTCATTAGGAATGTCAAATATGTATGTAAAACCAGTAAGGAAAGTAATAAAGTCGGACTGAAAGGATTAAGTTTCGATTACCGATACGTGCGCGAGAACTTTCTTTACTTATGTGATCCTTTGAGATAGTGACCCTGTGATAGTTACACTATTGTTCGGCATCTTAACGTCATTAATTAATAACGTTAAGATGCCGAGGAGAAGACGACCTGACTTATATCGTCCATAGAATGCAAGTACATTTTGGGACTAATGCAAGGATGGAAAATCAGAAGAGATTCTGAATCGAGATCGTGTCCATTCAGGGTATTCTGATTCTAAGATCCATGCCCTTGATTAATTTGTTTGAAAATAATAATAATAATAGGAACATGTTGTTCCTTAAAGTTCCTGAAATTTTGCTATGCCACGGGAAATATCAAATCAGGCGGTTATATGCCTAATCGTTGTTCAATATCTTTGAACTTATAAACACCTCGCATATATCCGACACTAAAAATGTTTATCACAGTGCAATATACGAGATATCTTCTTTGCTAAAATCTATCATTAAGCTCAGCTGGAAAGAGAACAACAAACAAAAAACCAGCAATTTTATAAAAATTAGCGATGACGAAGCGACTTGAAGGTTATACGAAAACCTCCGTCCGATGTTACCCATTCGTATTGAACATGCTAACTATCGATAACACTCAAGTTGGAAAACGGGAGTAAGAAATTCAACATACCGAAAATTGAACTGAAAATAATTATGGCGTTTTTTAACGTTAAGCTGTAGTGCAAAATTTCTGGAATGATGTTTTTTATTCACAGGAATTCGTTATGCCTAATTATATAGATGCTATATCAAAACTCGGACCTAAGTAGATACTTAGTCGCAAAAATGTGTCTCCCCCCAATATCCCGGAATGAACTATTTTAACTACAACAATGGGAATGGAGACATTTTAAGATTTTGGACTCACCAAATAAAACAACTAATTAAGGTTGAAAAACGTGCCAAAATCCCCAAAGCATTCCATAATGTGGAGTTCCATTATATTGATTTCGGAAGCTTGGGTAAATTTTGTTAGGAACATTTTCTACTCAATGATCATCCAAAATGTAAAATTACAGCCAAATACCGAATATTATAGGGTTATCTGGATACTTGTGCCAATATTGATAATTTTATGTAGTGATAAGTATCCCCTATATTAAACTAAAAGTAATTCTGTTGAAACCGCGCTTAAGATCTTCAAAAAACCGAATGTTTAGGGCTACTATTATATGGGCGGTACACCGAAACATGGGCCAATATTGATAATATTTGGTACGGACACTTTCTGCGCAATTTCAATGTATGTGCAAATTTCAGAGCACTATCTTAAAGATAATTTTATATTGGGCTATCGTTATGTGAATTATACATCAAAAATATTGCTATGCAAGACAACGTTTGTATAAAAACATTTTAAGGAAAATACAACAAATAATTGAGAAGTATATCATATCACACTCAGGTTGGAAAACGGGAATAAGAACTTCAACATACCGAAAATTGAACGGGAAATAATTATGACTTATTTCTAAAACATTATTCTATAGTCCATAATTTCTGGGATGCTGTTTTTAATTCACAGGAATCCGGTCAATGTCTTTATAGAACCGAAACCTGTATTTATATGCTATATCAAAACTTGGTCCTAAATAGATAATTTTTCACCCCCAATATCCCGAAATGACATATTTTATTATATTTAGACATACAATGGGAATGGGGATTAATTAATTGTTGGTATGAAAATTTGACGCCACATGATAAAATGAGGGGATACCATTATATGGGTGCTACCCGGAAACTTGACTCAATATTGATAATTTAAGTAAGTAGATTTTGTACTCACTGATCATCTAAAATATAAAATTACAGCTAATTTTGTTCTAAGACGTGGCTAAACCCCCTAAAATACAGAACTGATATTGACAATTTTAGTAGGATTCATGCTACCAAATAAAACAACCAATTACAGCTGATTAGGTTGAAAAACGTGTCCAAATCCCCAAAGGATCGTATAATGTGGAGTGCCATTATATGGAGGCATTTCGGAAGCTTTGTTAGGAACATTTTCTACTCGATGATCATCCAAAATATAAAATTACAGCCAAATACTGATATAATATTGATAATTTTATGTAGAGAGATTTTCTGCTCAAGAACTATCCCTTATATTAAATTAAATCAATGCTGTTGAAAACCGTGCCCAAGATCTTCAAAATACTGAATGTTTAGGGCTACCATTATATAGGCGGTACTCCGAAACACATGCCAATATTGATAATATTTGGTATGGACACTTTCTGCTAAATTACAACCAATTCTGTTGATAAAATCGTTACAATTTCTCATATGGAGGTTACCGTTATCGAGATTTTAATTTTGAGGATAAGAAATCTTAAAATTACACCATTTATTATATTGACTAAAAACGGTGATATATGATTATAATAATCGCGAAAAGGTTGCACATTTGCAATAAAAATATAGGGATTATGTCATTATTATATATATATATATATTCATGACATACATACACCTAAAAATTAGTACAAAAATTAGTATGGTAGTACAAAATGAAAAAATTCCCTGTTGCAAACATAGATTTACTGTGAAAAAAATGCATTCCCCCTGCGTACGTCCCTGGTATACACCGTG